TAAGAATTTAATAGCGTGGTTGGTTTCTTTTGCTTTTGTAATTTCTGAGACAGGAAAACGGAAGGGAAAATGGAGAGACGTTCGACGAAAAAGGGCAAAAGAAAGAGAGGAAGACACGTGTATAGAAAGCCACGTAGGATGTCTATTAAAGGGCGCCAAATTTAGATTTCGGATTTGGTAGCCGACCGACTCAACCTAACATCTTAATTCCTAACTAAGCCTTTTTGACCGTAAAAGTGGTAATCAATTAATTTACGCGCTTTTATAAAACTTTCTATGAATTTTTCAACAATTAATTTTTTTATAAAATTTTATTTACAATAAACAATTTCAATCATAATAAAACATTATATAATATTATATGAAAATTTAATAAAATAAATAAATTAACTATCAAATCAATATATAATTAAACAAATCTAGTATAAAATTAAATCAAATTTACATATGATAAAATTTAAACTTAAAACCTCAAGATTTTAATCTTTTTCTTGCCATTGACAACAATTGAACATTTTGGTTGATGACACATCATTTCTATTACAAGGAAGAAATTTTAAAATATACATTTCTACTTCAGAAATTGAATTTTTGTCTAATTTTATATTAATTTATTTATTTATTGTGTCGATTTATTAACTTTTTTGAACGTAACAAGTTTTTTCAAACTTGCCTTTCGTTTTGAGGAGAGTTCTCTTTTCATTTTTTTTTTTTTTTGATTGTTCTCTTTTCTCTAATGCTCTTTCTCTGCCATTTGTGTGATTATCAGATTTGGTTTGTCTTTTTTGAGTTGACGATATTTCTCTTTCCTTGGGTATTTTTGTTTGTAACATTTTTTTGGATTTTTCTATTCTTTTTTCGATTTTAATCGATTTTGTCTTTTATATTTTACGAGTTTGTATCGATTTTAAGTGCAAAGCTTTTAATGGAGCTGCTCAATTAAGCATCATTGCCCATTGTCTTTTTTTTTTCTAAGATATTCTGAACAAGTATACAAGTAAACAAATATAACATTTGATTGCACATAAATATCTGGTTCAATAATGAATAAGTTGTTTAAGATAATTGAGTTTAAATCCTCATTTTTATGTATAGTTCTTCATAAAAAAATTTATGTTTGCTTAAAAGTAAGTTAATATTGTGTTAAAACTTATAAATAAGTTAATAACTTAAAGATAATACCAATTAAAGCATAATAGTTTCATATATATGAAAAATGTTAATTTTTAATATCAAAATAAAAAAATCTGATATAATATTTAAAAATTTTTCAAAACTATTTAAAAAAATTTAAAATATTTTATTTTTTTATTAAATACTAATAAATTTTTATATTTTTATTTTAAATTAAATAAATTTTCATCAGTTAAAACATCATGTGACATTATGGTGTAAATTTTTTATGTGATTATATTACTGTGTTATATCTAACATGTTATATTATTATTTTTATTTATATATATATAGTGTAAACAAAATAACTTATTACATCATAAGCCAAGCAACTTCTTTTACGATATATGTGAAATATTGATATTCTACAATCTCAATCTTGTAAGAATAAATTTTTTATTTTTTTCAATTATAATATTTTAATATATCATATCAACTATATTTAATACAAAATGACAAATAACATTCATTTATATGTTAATTATAAAAACTTATTTAATTTAAAATATAAATATATATAAACTTAATTAAATAAAAAAATAAAAATTTATTTAAATTTTACTAAATAATTAAAAGATTTGTTTACATATTAAGCCAAAAACTTTCATTTTATATCTTCGTATTTTTTGCAGCCAAAGCATTTCTTTCGGCTTTTGCTTAAAGAAACGCAAATACTAGTAAAAGAAGCAATCGAACCAAGCGTCATAAGCAGCTTCTCATACTCTCATCAGTATTACCATGTGGAAGTCATGAGGATCCAAAGATTAAACACACTTTTCCATTTTCTTCATACGAAATAACATCATCCCAAAAAGAAAACAAGTTTTGAGCATAAACTTTCTGAAAGAGGTAAATTGCCTCGTCACCACAATGCTTAACAGAAGCACTGAGGGGTAAAATGCTGAAAGAAGCGGTCATCGGGAATACAATTGACATGTTTGAAAGCGGCCTTATA